TGATCACAAAAGACCGACTCGACTAAGTCTTCAATTCTTGATCTTGTCCTTGAGTCTTTTTGGTCTTGTTCCAAGCCATTCTTCACGCCTTGAGTTATTCAACGAAACTCTTCATATCCACGGCGGTTTGGCAATTATCAAAACCTGTCAGAAATGAACACGACTTTAGTTTATCGTACAAAGTGTGTTCCAACAATTTCCCCCTTTTTGATAATGGCAAACAAGACGGGGATATGCATGGGGTTTTGATATTTTTGAAAAAAAAATTCCCCCTTAATAAAAAATTCCCCCTTAATATATGCATAGCCCTTATCTTCCCCCTTTTGACATTAACAAAAAGATTTAATAACAAAAACCATAAAGATTTTTATTAATTATTTAAGGGAAATAGCGGAGTACATAACGAAAGCATATTAAAAGATGATAAAATAAGGAAGAGAAGAAAGTAGAGCTAGAGCTCTAGAAATCCGGGGAAAGATCATTGAGAAGCTGTTCTTCGTCAATGTCTTCGTCTTCCTCTTCATCGTCATGGAATTGAGTAAAAAATGAAGAGGTATCACCAATATATAGAGAAGAGGCTTTGGAGATCCGTTGGGGTGGTCAAACATGAGTTAAATGTTCCCCAAACGGCTAGAAAACGGTCAGATTTTTGAAAATCTACCGTTGTTAGTCGATTTACAACTTCCGTAAGTTGATTATTGGCGACCTCTGTTTTCCGATTGAAGAATCTGCAGCACTTGCTAGTCGATTTACACAGTTTTGATAATCGACTGTCGCTGATTTGCGCCTGATTTCAGAGAAGGTTCAGCAGCCTCAGAAAGTCGATTATCATGATTTGAATAATCGATTGTTGAGGTTTGCGATTTATTTGCTCCAATCTTCCGCGGGCTGTGATAGTCGATTATCACAACCTGTAAATCGATTTATACCAAGTCCGAAAAAAATCGATTTACTTTGTTCCCCCCTGACTTTGACACCTGAAAATAAGATTAAAAGAAGAGCCCTGCAAAAAAGAGTTAAAAACGTCTCCGGCGTTCAAGTTAGTAAGGATCAAAAATGATATTTAATGGACAACTTAAATCATCGTGGAGTCAAGGATTCCGAGTTCACTACGAATGCGGAAGAACGACTCTTTCTCTAAAGGTTTTGTGAAAATGTCGGCTAATTGGTTGTGTGTTTCAACGAACTCAACTTCGACATCACCTTTGAGAACATGATCTCTAATGAAATGATGTATAATGTCAATATGTTTCGTCCTTGAGTGAAGAACCGGATTCTTCGTCAAGCTTATGGTGCTAGTATTATCACATCGAAGAGGGACGTGATCGATACTAAGGCCATAATCCACAAGTTGTTGCTTCATCCAAAGGATTTGAGCACAACAACTACCGGCGGCAACATATTCCGCTTCGGTTGTGGATAACGCAACACTGACTTGCTTCTTGCTAAACCATGAGACTAAAGAACTACCAAGCAAGTGACACGTCCCACTCGTACTTTTACGGTCTAACCTACAACCGGCAAAGTCTGAGTCAGAATAGCCAAAAAGATGACAAGGAGACCCTTTGGGGTACCATAGTCCAACGTTCATTGTACCAACAAGATATTTCATTATCCGTTTCACCGCCGTTAACTGCGATTCTTTCAGACAAGATTGATACCTTGCACATAAACAAACGCTAAACATGATATCGGGTCTACTAGCGGTAAGATAAAGAAGGGATCTGATCATACCTCGATACTTCCTTACGTCTACTTCCTTACCCTTTTCATCTTTGTCCAGGTGCTCGGAGGTGCTCATTGGGGTAGCCATTGCTTTGGAGCCATCCATTTCAAATCTCTTTAAAAGCTCCTTGCAATACTTTGATTGACAAATGAAGGTCCCTTCCCTCATTTGTTTTACTTGCAACCCCAAGAAGAAATTGAGTTCCCCCATCATGGACATCTCAAATTCATTTGTCATTAAGTTTGAAAATTCCTTGCACAAAGATTCATTAGTAGCACTGAATATAATGTCATCTACGTAAACTTGCACCAAGAGGATGTTATCGTTTTTACTCTTGATAAAAAGTGTAGTATCAACCTTCCCCCTTTTGAACCCGTTGTCCAAAAGAAATTTGCTCAAACGCTCATACCAAGCACGAGGTGCTTGTTTAAGACCGTAGAGTGCTTTCTTTAGTTTATAGACATACTCCGGGTGCTCAAAATCCTCAAAGCCCATGGGTTGATCAACATACACTTCCTCTTGAATAAAACCATTGAGGAAGGCACTCTTAACATCCATTTGGTATAGCTTAAAATCCATAGATGAAGCAAAAGCGAGTAATAAGCGAATAGCTTCTAAACGTGCTACTGGTGCATAAGTTTCTTCAAAATCAATGCCTTCTTCTTGATTGTAGCCTTTAGCTACGAGCCTAGCTTTGTTTCTAGTGATTATTCCATTTTCATCGAGTTTGTTACGGAACACCCATTTCGTACCAATTATGGTGTGATCATCGGGTCTTGGCACCAATTCCCAAACGTCNGAGGTGCTTGTTTAAGACCGTAGAGTGCTTTCTTTAGTTTATAGACATACTCCGGGTGCTCAAAATCCTCAAAGCCCGGGGGTTGATCAACATACACTTCCTCTTGAATAAAACCATTGAGGAAGGCACTCTTAACATCCATTTGGTATAGCTTAAAATCCATAGATGAAGCAAAAGCGAGTAATAAGCGAATAGCTTCTAAACGTGCTACTGGTGCATAAGTTTCTTCAAAATCAATGCCTTCTTCTTGATTGTAGCCTTTAGCTACGAGCCTAGCTTTGTTTCTAGTGATTATTCCATTTTCATCGAGTTTGTTACGGAATACCCATTTCGTACCAATTATGGTGTGATCATCGGGTCTTGGCACCAATTCCCAAACGTCATTTCGTTTGAATTGGTTAAGTTCCTCTTGCATTGCCAAGGTCCAATGTTCATCATCAATTGCTTCCGAAATGGTTGTAGGTTCAATTTGAGAGACAAAAGCCATGTGATCTACAGTGTCCCTAAGAGAGCTACGAGTACTTACCTTTCGGTTGATGTCACCGATCACCTTGTCAAGAGGATGGTTCTTTGAAGTCCTTCATGCCCTTGGCATTGGCGTTTCCTCCTCTTGTGATTGTTCCTCGTTTACGGGTGGTTCTACTACTTCATCTTGGCTTTCCTTTGAGTTGTCTACTTCGTCATTGTTGTTGAGATAGATGTTCTCCAACGAATCTACAAGATCATCACAAGAAACCTTTCTCGCCAAGCGAGCATCATTTTCGGCAAAGACAACATGAGGAGATTCCTCAACGGTTAAGGTGCGTTTGTTGAAGACTCTATAAGCCTTACTACGCAATGAATAACCAAGAAAAATTCCTTCCTCTGACTTTGCATCGAATTTACCCAAATTATCTTTTCCGTTATTGTGAACAAAACATTTGCAACCAAAGACTCGAAGATGGGAGAGGTTTGGCTTTCTTCCTTTGTATAATTCGTATGGGGTTTTCATGAGTATCGGTCTAATGACAGCTCGGTTTAACACGTAGCTCGCGGTACTCACGGCATCCGCCCAAAAATACTTAGGAATTTTTGCCTCATCAAGCATGGTTCTAGCCATCTCCTCAAGGCAACGATTTTTACGTTCCACCACGCCATTTTGTTGTGGTGTACGTGGAGCGGAGAAGTTATGCTCGATGCCTAGTTCGTCACAAAACTCAGTAAAGAGATCTCATTCGAACTCTCCACCATGATCGCTTCGTATGGCTACGGTGGTTAAGCCTTTTTCATTTTGAACCTTTTTGAGAAAAGTTTTGAAAACATGAAATGACTCACTTTTATGAGTTAGAAATAATGTCCATGTGAATTGAGAGTAGTCATCAACAATTACAAAGGCGAAATAGTTTTCCCCAAAACTTTTTGTTCTTGATGGTCCAAAGAGATCCATGTGCAAAAGTTGTAGGGGCCTTGTTGTGGACACAACATTTTTCGATTTAAATGAGGCCCTTACTTGCTTTCCCTTTTGACATAAATCACAAATGGTGTCCTTCTCAAACTTCAGTTTTGGAAGGCCAACTACTAGGTCTTGTGAGACCAATTTATTCAAAAGGTTCATGTTGACATGAGCTACTCTACGATGCCATAGCCACATATCGTCCTCCTTACTCATGAGACATTTTGCAAAGTCGGAGGGAGATTCATCTAAGTTAACCATGTAAATGTTTTCAATTCTATCACCACGAAGAATCGTCTTATTGTCACTAAGACGTTCTACCGTACATGATTTGGAATTGAAGGTCACACGATTTCCCTTGTCACACAATTGACTTATGCTCAAGGGATTGTGTTTAAGACACTTAACCAACAAAACATTATCAATAGAGGAGTTTTCGTTTTTACCAACCGAACCAATGCCGATTATCTTGCCTTTGCTATTATCGCCAAAGACAACGTTTCCTCCTTTAGTTGGTTTGATTTGCAAAAATTTGGATGCATCTCCAGTCATGTGCTTGGAGCATCCGCTATCAAGGTACCAAAGTACACTTGATGCCTTCAAGCACACCTACAAACCAATTTAAAAGGATTTAGGTACCCAATTCCTTTTGGGTCCTTGGGCGTTAGGTGTACGTTGGTAGTGTGATTGGTTTTGAGTGCAATGCCTATGCCTAGTGAAACAAACCGGGGCTATATGTCCTACCCTATTGCAATAATGACAAATAACATTTGGATTATGCATTCTCCTAGGTTGATAATAGTTACTAGGTTTTTTATATTGCTTGACCCTAGTTTGAGAAAAGTTTTGTTTATGCACATTTGGAAAATGGTTTCTAGATTCTCTAACTTGATTATTGTTTATCCTAATGTTCTTTCTAGGTGGTCTAGTGTTCCTGGTTGATGTAGGTTGTCTATTATTGTTCATTTTAGTTTTCCTAGGTTGAGCCTTAGGTTGTTTAGGTGGTTGCTCAACTTTTTCCTTATTATTGGTTTCATTTTCAAATCCTAAGCCATGTTTAGTAAGTTGTAAATTATCAAGGACATCATTGAGATTTTTGTGAGAAACACCAAACTTCTTTAAGGTTCCTTCATGTTTTGCAACTTGTTCTTTAAGTGATGTACATGAACTACATTTTGAACTCTCCGGTTTGTCGGCGCTTCTTTTTCCAAAAAACTTCTTTTCTTCTTTGAGTCTTTCATAATCTTTTGATAATTTATCAACTTCCTTCTCCATGGAAGTAAGTTGTTTCTTTAAATCCTTGTTAATTTTAGAAGCATTGACATATTTATCATAGAGTTCATTAAAAGCTTCTTGTACATCATCCAGAGTATAGGAATCTTTAGAAGTGGTACATACCTCTTCGGTGGTTCCTCGTGTGCCATGAGGCAAAGGTTAGCGCATTCTCTTCGACTTCCGATGACTCATCGACGGAATCACCTCCCCATGAAATGTAAGCTCGGTGCTTCTTGAACAGTTTCTTCTCCTTCTCGTTTTTGGCATTTGGGCATTTTGGCTTGATGTGCCTAACTTCTCCACACCCATAGCACTTGGGTGGTCCTCCTTGCTTTTTGCCCTTTCGTTCATACTCTTTTCGCATGAACTTGTGGAACTTTTTGATGACGAGCCCGAACTCGTTGTCCTCATCGCTTGAGGTAGCCTTGAGTGCAATCCCCTTCTTCTTTTGTTCACCTAAAGAAGGGAATAGAATGGTGGACTCATAGGTTTTGAGGTTACCTCTAAGTCCGTCAATGGTGACGTTGGTGATGCCGATGGACTCTTGAATGGCATCGGCTGGAGTGCGACTCCGGTGTGAGACTTCGCAGGATTTTTCTCACAAGCTCCTTGTCCGTGTACGTCTTCTTGAGAGCATGAAGATCAATGACGATTTTAGAGAATCGTTCAAACATCTCATCGATTTTCTCGTTTTCCTTCATACAAAACAATTCATATTCATGGGTTAGAAAATCAATTTTAGCTTCTCGGACTTGATCCGTACCTTCGTAGGTGATATCTAGTTTGTCCCACATTTCCTTTACGGTGGTGCAACAAGAAATCTTCCGGTAGTCATCCGGGTTAACGGAACAATAGATGATGTTGATGGCCTTGGCATTGTTTTCCACTTTCTTGATGTCTTGTGCATCATATTCATCCTCGGTCTTAGGGACGTTGGTTTCCTAGACCTTCTTCATTAGCACGTCCTCACCGTTTTTGATAATTCTCCAAAGGAGAAAGTTTGTGGATTGGATGTAAATCCTCATCCGCTTCTTCCAATAGGTGTAGTTTGTTCCGTCAAACAATGGAGGCCTCGTGGTGGATTGCCCTTCACCTAAACCTGCGTATGAACTTTGAGTAGAAGACATTGATCGTTTCTCTCAAACGGTTAAGGGGCTGTTTGTTTCAGCCTCTTAATGGTTCAGATGTCTGAATGGTTCAGCACTTAATGATTCAGACTATTTGTTTCAGCCTCTTAACCATTCAGATGTCTGAATGGTTAAGAGATTTGCCTCTGAATGGTTAAGTATTATACAGAGTCTGAATGGTTAAGACCTCTTATCTGAGTTGATCAGACATTTGCCTCTAAATAGTTAAGCAATATACTAGCTCTTAATGGTTCAGACCTCTTATTGGTTCAGCACTTAATGGTTCAGACCTCTTACTGGTTCAACACTTACCTATTCAGAAGTTGCCAAACAGCCTCTATGTCTTTTAGAGAGTATAGCTCCGATACTAATTGTTAGAATAAAGGTCCAACGCTAGAGGGGGGGTGAATAGCGTTTAAAACAAAATCGCAGGAAATTAAAAACAAGAGCTTTAAAGTAAAGAGCGTAAGGAAGGAGCACACCGAATTTTATCTTGGTTCACCACAACGTGTGGCTAATCCAGCTTCCCGAGAGACTCTCTCGAGCTACACTAACTCCGTTAAGCTTAAGGGTGCTTAACAAACCGATACAACTTGAGAACCCGAGTCACACGATCGTCAACACCTTTGCTCGGAGATACCGCACTCCAAGACTTCTCACGAAGGAACAAGGAACTTCCTTCGAGTTTACAACAAGGGAACAACCTCCCTTAAAGTGTATGAAAACACTTAAACACTCAGGAATAAAACTCTCACAAAGAGTAGATATGAGTGAACTAGTAAACGCTCAAGAACACGACAATTTCTTCAAGAATTGGCTCTCAAATAGCTAAGAAAATTAGGAATGATTATGCAATGAAAGAGTATTGAAAATGTTGAAGAATTGTGTGTAAAATGAGAGAATTTGGGTGCCATTTTATAGCCCAAAATGGGATAAACCCGTTGCTAGAGTTTCCAACAGGATGAAGACAAATTTTTCAGGGACACAGGCTGATAGTCGATTATCCAAGCTTGATAATCGATTATCAAAAGATTCCTTGTCCAAAAATTTAAAATTCTATCCGTTGGAGGACAACGGTAACCCAGATAATCGATTGTCAACAAGTGATAATCGATTATTGGTCCTTTGAGAAGATTCTGGGTTTTGGATGCAAAGACTGATAATCGATTATTGCATAAGTGATAATCGATTATTGTGTGCTTCAGAACTCTGGAAGTTCAAAGCTGCAGGGGCTGATAGTCGATTGTCACTAAGGTGATAATCGATTATCACCCAGCTAAAGTCTAGCCAGCTGAAACCCGTTTTGAAAAACCGAGGTCCAAAAACGAAGTGTTCCCAAAAGTAAAAACCAGGTTTGAAAAACATTGTATATGGTATAAAATAGTGAAAACAAGACTTGTTTGGTAAAAACCAAGTCTCCAAGGGCGTACAACACGTGCGTACGGTTTTGACCATTTTTCACGTGTTAGACCAATTGACCAAGATACAAAAGTGGTTTTTATAAAATAATTATTTGGGAACATTTTAAAAATGCTCAGAGGTAAAAACAAGGTTTAAAATATTGAAAACCACGGAGTTGGTTCGGGCGCCAAAAACCGAATGCCGAAAGCCGAACGCCGAACGTCGTCTTAGGTGGTTTCGGTTCCGAGCAAGGACCAGGGATTTTAACAATAAAAAATCATTAAAAATATTTTTTTTGATGCACAAAAAATATTTTATGATTTGTAAAAATTGTTTTGACTCTTTGAGAACCGAGACTTGAATTTATTGTCGGTTCTGATCATAAAAGACCAACTCGACTAAGTCTTCAATTCTTGATCTTGTCCTTAAGTCTTTTCGGTCTTGTTCCAAGCCATTCTTCACGCCTTGAGTTATTCAACGAAACTCTTCATATCCACGGCAGTTTGGCAATTATCAAAACCTGTCAGAAATGAACACGACTTTAGTTTATCGTACAAAGTGTGTTCCAACATGATGCTCCTCACGTTCCAAACAAGGAACCGCATCATCACTGAGAATGTGAAGAAGTGGAGCGAGTGGTTCTCTGTGTAGCAGGCGCCACCCCATTTTATGCGTTGTTGCCTTACAGGCGGCTTTTGTCGCCTTACCTCTTGTAGTCGGAGCCTCCCTTGCAGGGGAGACGCCACTCGGTGCAAGATCCCGGGCAATGTAAGTGGGATCCTCAAAATGATCACCCGTGGACCCGTCACTAGTCTGCGAGCTATACCCATTATCCCCCGCCCCTACCGAATTATAAGGAACCAATGATGCGGTAGTATTAAATCCACAAACCTCATGACTGTCCCCAGGCAGTTCCCCTAGAGCATCAAAAGTATTAGACACGGTAAGAGCAAGTTTTAGAGGTTGAGGATCAGGAACATGGACAACATGGACAGTAAGAGAAGGGGAAGAAGTAGAAAGAGCAAGAGAAACAACAACGGAGCCATGCTCAACTCTGGTAGGAGGAACAGATGGCTCAAGAGTCAAAGACGCCGACTGTTCAACCACAACAGGTATGGGAGTAGTGGCGTGAACAGTATAAACAATCAAACTAGCATCAGGTACAACAACGTTTGGGGAGTGATGCAAAGAAGTGGGCACAAAGACCTGTAAGCTGGATGAGGAGCCCTCCCCCTTACCTAAACCATCAAGATCCACGGCCTCTATAGGTCTAGACCCTTTTGCCGTTTGTTCTCTCCAAACATACTGTGACTCCTCTCGCTGGGAGCCACCTGCACCGGCACCTGCATCACCAATAGCAATACCTTTCCCCTCTCTTTGACGCCTGCCCCTACTCCTACTTCCCCTCTGGCGAGAAGGTTGGGTAGTCATAGGTGCAGTCGTGGAAGGTTGGGGAACTACAACAACTGCCCTCTCATCAGGCTGACTAGAAATGAAAGTATTGCACGAAGTGTTGTTGTGACCCTGTTTAAAAGAGGCCGTGTAGTACTTTGGAATGCACTCATATTCCACTATCTCGAGCATGCCCACATCCTCCTCGCCAGGATCATCAGGAAAGCCAATCCAAATTTGCTCAAGTGTGGGCTTCAACAAATCATCCTCCACCTGAGCTTCAGCAATATCGGGGCGAGTGAAAGTGGTCGTGGCTAGGTCAACTTTTAAACACCTTCCAATAGGTTTGAAAAGCTGGGTGATAGCACTAACATTAAATAAATCAGCCCTTAAATTAGGAAACGTCACCCAAACCAGGGCAATGGAAGGTTCAGTTTTCACATTAAAGTTTGGAGACCATCTGAATAGCCTCATAGGGTATTGCCCATTGAACTGAATCTGTCCTTGCATAAATATATCATCACAATCCCGTGGGTGGGTAAATAAAAGCATGACATGTCGAGGGTCCCTAAGACTAATTTGCACCGACTCCCGAAGGATAAATTTCTTTGCAAACAACTTTCTCAACGTAGCAATTTCAGGTTGACCATGTGAAAACTTCCCAATAAGAAGAAAATTATCTAGTTGGGAAAGTTGTTGCATTTTAGATTTTTTAAACACAACTCCGGGAGTGCCTCTATGAGAAGTAGGGATTTTGTCCTCGATAACAACATTAGGCAAAATAGAATGCGAGAGGGAAGTTTGAGTTTGGAGAGAAATGCCTGGCGTTGTAGAGCCAACCACGGCTTGTGCAAAGGAAGTTTTGGGTGCGTTGGATTGTCCTCATGACCGTGTTGCTTGGGGAGCCACAGCTACTGCCATACCACGATGGGGGGGCAGTAGCAGCTAGTTTCCGTGAGGGGGCCCCTTGGTGACCTTTAGAAGCAGCAATAGTAGGGGCAAAGGTAACCGCTTGCCTTGGTTGTGAAATAGGCTGAGATGGGCTAGGGCCTAAAATACTTGGATTCTTCTTCAAAGATTTGTTGGCATGCGCAATGGTGGCCACACCCATAGTATTAACCGGAGCTTCATGCAGCGTGGATGTGCCATGAGATGCCATGTTCATAGCCTCATTATGCCCAGCCAAAGGTGGTTTGGCCATGCGCACATTTGGAGGGCTGAAGGGAGGAAGTTGTGAGACCATGGCAAACACCTCATTAACGGTATCATTTGCATCATGGACAGTAACCTTGGAAACCAGTACCTCCTGTGTAATATCCTTGGCCAAAGAAGATCCCAAGTTAAGTGGTTGGAAGAAGTGAGGATAGGTAATGGGCTTGAGTATCTCCTCAGCTGGGGGCTGACCATATGCAGCTCCATTTGGTCCAATTAAGGCAACAACAATAACACCAGGTACAGCCATGCACTTATATTGCGAAAAGGAAGACAATGGGACATGCAACATGGCATAATCCGAATCCACCAGCCCTTTGATTATGGCACCATCAATATTCTTCCAATTAAAATGAATAAATGCTGTAAGAGGGACCTTAATCTTCAGGAAATCAATCATAGAAGAAACGTTTTCCTTTGAAACATTTTCACAAACACTTGGCGTGCATGAAGAAAATCGAGCTGTAGAAGCTAAAACATTATGGCCAACATTTAAGGGCTGTGAGAAAGGGTCCAAGGCAGTGAGAGGGACCCCAGAAGTGTCCTGAAGAGGTAAGGAATACATGAAGCTGGAACTGGGGTCCTGAGAAGCCATTATTCCCGACAGTAGGGCATCAAAACTTGCTGGACAACTTTCAGGCGCCAAAATGGGCGAGAGATGACTTGTTACATTCGTAAGGACATGAGAAGAAGCATGGTAGGGTGCGTGACGCTGGGTTGGCCGGGAACCACCGGATCGGAGGACAACCCAGGTGGAAGACCCGCCGTGATCGCAGTCAGCGCGGGGTCGATTCCAGTAGCGGATGAGCCTGAAAATTGGTTCCCTAGGAGCGTCTCAATGGGAGGAAGAAGCTGGGAAGGGTTGAAACCTTGAAGGAGACATGTAGACACCATAAAAAATGGCTGAACTGCACCGGCTTTTGCAGCGGCGGCTGTGGTGTTTCCGGTGGCTGTTGCATGCGTGCCATAGGTCGATGGAACCGGTAGAGGGTAAGGAGGAAGATGGTGGGGGTCCGGCGCCCGTTCGTCGGCCATATTGGCCAGAAAAAGTGAATAGTCGATGGGGAGTTTGAGTCGCCTTTTTGGGGTTTTTTTTGGGTTTTGACATGACATTTTGAATACGTTGTCTAAAGACTTAGGTTTTTATTCTAACAAGCTCATTCAATTTCTCTACGTCATGCCTCAAAATAAAATATGGTTTTCATGCATCAAATGAGTGTTTTCATAAATGGTTTTAAGTTTCTAAAACCTCTGGTTCTTGCCCAACACAAACCATAACCATTGGTTATCGTCATTCGGCTATGGCGTTCGGTTTTCGGTATAGGTTATATGCATTGATTTTAGCCAAATGGTTTTTGGGTTTTTATCTTTGGTTTTTGCTTCTGAACACATTTAAAGGTTTTCCAAATGATTAGTTTTCAAAAACGATAACCATTGTTTTCCGGCATTGGTTATCGGCATTCGGCGCTGGTTATTGGGGTTGATTTTTGGAATCCAAATAAATCATGTGTTTTTTAAGATTTTATGATCCTTTATTACTTCTGGCCATATCCAAATAGTTCTCCAACAAAACCATGTTAAAAACCACCTTTCGTTTTTGGTCTTTTGGTGAAAACCATGTGAAACGGAATGGCTAGCCATGGTTTTTACCTTAATGAAGTGATTTTAAAGTTTTTATACTTGGTTTATACATAAAATACATTATATAAGAGTGTACAACATTTGGTTTTCATTTTGGAGATTTTTGGTTTTTGACATCGGTTTTCGGTGTTGGCGCCAAACCATGGTTCTGGCGAACCAGCCCAACAAGGATGTTGGAATTCTCAACGGAGATGTTTGCATTCTCAGTTCTTGGTATTAGGTTTCTGGACAGCGATGTTTTCAAATGACCGTTGGGCTATTTATGACAAAATCTTTCCATTTTTAAAAGTCAATCACCCCAACATCGATGTAGACTTCTACACATCGATGTTTTGATGACCGTTAGCCATTTTTAATGAAAAGTCAAAGCCAAAACAGCGATGTTCACTATATGAACACCGATGTTAGGTCAATATTCTGTAGACCAACTTTGATTTGATTTCCACAAATCATGTCATTCAACCCCAATCAACTCCCATCCGTTACACATCATTTTTGGGTATAGGTAGGGGTCTTTTAGGTCTATTTGAACAACCATTCCTCACATATTTCATAGCTTTACATTGCATCATTCCATAAACTTTTTAAATAGCTTTTTAGAGCCATTTCTTGAGGAATTGAGTGCGTTCTTGATCTAAATTAGTTTACTCATATTCTACTCTATAAGAGAGTTTTTGTTCTTGAGTGGCTAAGTGTTGTGAACACTTTAAGGGAAGTTTGTTCCCTTGATTTTACGAAGGAAGGGCATATTCCTTAGGGTTGAAATCTTGGAGTGTGATATATTGAAGCAAGTATATTGAGGCTCGTGGGACTCGAGTTCTCAGGTTGTAATGGTTTGTTAAGCACCTGTAAGCTTAATGGAAGTAGTGTACCTCGAGAGAGCCTCTCGGGAGGCTGGATTAGCCACACGTTGTGGAGAACCAGGGTAAATCTTGGTGTGCTCCCTTTACGCTTTTCATGCTCTTTACTTTTAACATTCATAAATCTTTATTCCAGTGAGATTTCGCTTCAAACTCTACTCACCCTCCTTCTAGCATTGAGACTATAATCTAACAGTCATGTCCTAGAACTAGAGCAAACACTTCTTTATACTAAACTCCATACTCATACTTATATCCATTTGGCACCAACCTTGCCTTGTATTTTTCTACTTCACCGTTTTCATTCAATTTTGTTTTGTAGACCCATTTTACATTGATGGACTTGCAGCCTTTGGGATGATCTGTTAACTCCCAAGTGTAACGCCCTCAAACGGGCCTAGTTTTAATAAATAAATATTATTTATTTATTGAGACTCATTGTTTTAAATAATAAATATTGAGATTTTGATCTTATTAGATGGACTCCAAAAGTTAATGTTTTTTTAGAATATAAAAATATGTTTTATTAACGGACCTCTCAACATTAATTATATAAATTAATTAATGATTGGGGTGGATCCGGAAGTTTGAAAATAAAGTTACTAGAAAAAACTATTTGAACATGTCATTAAATTCGTCTTGACTGTCTGATTCCGGAAACACAAACGGATCTCAATTCGGACCCGTTCGGGGGAAAAACCGTGTACCGTTCAGGTCAGATTTTTACATAACGGAGTAAATAAATATTTGTAAATCCCTCTCTCTCACGCCATTCCTCTTCCACTCCCCATCAGTTTTCATTTAAGTGCCCACATTAATTCCTTCATCATGTCTCATTATTCTCCTTTTAATATAACCCCTTTCACCATTCATTCCCCCCTCACATTTGTAACCCCCAAAGGAACCATAACACCCATCTCTCCCTCTCCCCTCTCTTGTTCGACTAAGGCAGCCAGGCGAGGAGGTTCCGCCGAGTCGATGGGGAGGTAGAAGAAGGAAGTTCACGCAAGAAGGTTGTCCATGATCTTTCGTCATTCAACCGTTCATCCATTTGTTCATTCGTCATCATCCGTTCGTTCATCTCGTTCCATTGTTCCGTTAACCCTTTCATTAGAGGTGAGTAGTTGTGCCCTCTAATTCTAGAACATATAGTTATAATCTATGTCGTTATATTCATAAGAATATCGTATGCAACCTACGTAGAATCTATGCATGTACGTAGGTTAGCCATTAAAACGTTCACTACGTAAAAACTTTAAATATTGGCCTAGGAATGACTAGAAATATATTCAACAATGTTTGTATTATTGTTCTAAAAAGAATGAAGGTGTTAAGTTTTCAAAATGGATCAAAACGATGCCAAAGACAGAAGACTGTCTTAAGGAAGGTCGACCGCCGCTATGGACGGTGGACCATTCCCTCGGCCATTCCGACGATCACCACCGTGATGGTCGACCGCCAGCCGTGACGGTGGACCGTTTGTGACCCAGACCCAGACCATAGCCCGCGGTCGACCGCGGGTAGGGCACGGTTGACCGTTCCTTGGGTAAAATTTCGGGCAGTTTGTAGAATGAGTTCCGTTGACCATATTGATCCAGAATCTGATTGTATGTTTGCATAAAATGTTAGTCTACACTATGTATGTTATTTAATTGATATATATTCTTAGCGTTGACCAAAGGTAAATATATCAAGCATTCATCATGTTCATCCTAGACGCATGTCTTAGGTTTATCATCATGTGCATACCGCTGTAGGGAGGTCAGGCTTTCGTGCGCCTACTATAGTGGGCCCGTCCAGGAACCTTTAGGATCCAATGGGTTTTCATCATGTGGGCTTTGTGTACGTACATGGTAGTCAGGTTACGGCTACTACCCGGTTTTGGTAGTCCACTTGTTCCCGGCTCATTACCGTTTCGGTATGACAACCGGAGTGCAGGGGTGATCGTGTCAAGTGAGGCTAAGCCAGAGGTGTCCCTGATAGTTTAAGTCATGCATCAAGTCATATCGTCATCATGTATTTTTCCACGTCACATCACCATTCAATGTGGTTATACATCATTTTGTTATATGTAATAGTACCCGAAGAGGCGCAAACTAAACAGTTAGTAAACATGTGGTTTTCCGTACGTTAAGTGCATGTATTATTATGTGTATAGTCATATGGGTTATCACTTCATGTTCTTTTGTTAGATTCACTCCCCAGCTTTTGCTAAGCGTGTAGATGTTTTTGCTACACACAGGTAGACATGACGGTACATGTGCTAACCCTGGAGGACAGTGATGATGAGAAGATGGGCGGCGCACGGACAAGTTTAATATTTATATACATTTAATAAATTAATCATTTGGGGCAAGAACCCACCATTTGTCGTTTTACTTATTTTGGACTTATGTATTTACTTTCGCTTTTACTCTACATTTATATCACACACGTTTTGGGCGTTATACCCTAGCATTTATTCCACTAATTAAACCCAACCGTTTTCATAATAAATGAGCATTAATGTTTTCCGCTACGGACAGTTCTTGGACCGCCCATGTAACCCTACCGGTCCGTTGGGTCGCGGGTGAACCGGGTCCACAGAAGGCAGGTGTTACAATTTGGTATCAGAGACATGTTCGGTTCTTGTGAAAAAAACATATTTTGTCATCTTAGTCAAAGGGTATTTTCAAAAGACCACATCCGCATCTCCCATCACATCACTTCTAGGAAAGGTACACCGTTATTTAACTCATTTATATGTCATATTGTGATTAGTTCTAATTTAAGCTCTTCTCTTAGAGAATGAGCCAAGCAGCAAGCAACGACGAACAGGCTGTCCCACAGGGGGAGCCTGAGCACGTGAGCACACATCGAAGCGTCATACTAATTGCGTTATACACTCACTTGTTCCTATTTTGGTACTTTGCGGTTGTTAGATGAGTACCATTAGTACTAGAAGCATGTCAAGCATTGACTCCAGTCGAACCTTCGTGCTCAGTAAGAGACGAAAGAACAATGGGCAAAGTTATGATTCGAAAGAGCGCTACCAACGTGCACATCACAAGGCTCGGATAGCAAGGCTAAGGATCTGGAAGCGCCGGAAGGCAGCATGGGAAAGAGATGACCTAGAGGAAACGTTCAGCGTGGACTCTACCAACAGTATATGCAGCGCAGGTGTCGATAATCCCCCAGTGGACTCAGCCCGACTAAACGAGTGGGAGTGGGTTGCCTGCTAACTGATGGTATAGTCGAGGCTGTAATCGATGCAACATCTCGTCCCACTTATCTAAACCAAATATGTTCCTTGAATGAAATTCGTCAATTGGCCTCTAATCTATTATGCCCTCGTATGCTTCACAAAACAAAGTTTTGGGTAACGCACTATCTCCCTAAACACATGAGGTGCAACTTGGAGAGAATTTTGGGGACGAAATTCCTTTAAGGGGGAGATAATTGTAACGCCCTCAAACCGGCCTAGTTTTAATAAATAAATATTATTTATTTATTGAGACTCATTGTTTTAAATAATAAATATTCAGATTTTGATCCCATTAGATGGACTTCAAAAGTTAATGTTTTTTTTAGAATATAAAAAGATGTTTTATTAACGGATCTC